TATTTTAGATTAAATGTCCTCTCTTGTAACTAATTTCTCAACACTTCCTTCACATCTTCGTGGCTTTTAAACATTTATGAGAATGTTGCACCAACGCTGTCAAGTATTTCCGTGTCACTCCAGCTTAGTCTTTGAAAAATATATCGCTATCATTTCTGCGACTGTTTCGAGACAACTTTCCGGTTTTCAGACACCATCTGCTGACATTAACTTAGCCAATACTCACTTTAAACTCATTTATTTTTCAGTTCGCATCCAGAAAAGTATTATCTTATCGTTTTTGTACAAACTTCAGAACTCCCTCTTGCTGTATACGAACAAGTTTCCAGGTATCTGGTAATTTCTTTCCCATTATTCACCGGCCGAAGTTGTTTTGTGTTAGGTGATATTTTCGGCACGACAGTCGTTGCGACCGTGCAAAAATACCGGAGAAAATTTATCGGCATATTGTAGTAAGTATGTAGGACCGCAGCTGCCCATACATCATTCGGTAAAAAAAAACAGCACCCATTGTAACCCAGGCCAGTCGAATTCAGTTCATCTAAATTTTAATGCAGTTTTTACTGGCCTCCAGTGCCGGCTGGTCATTTTTTAAGACCACATGCGAGTCATTTTCGGGCATGTATTATTATTACTGTTATCATTATTATAACTGATAATGTAACATCATCATTACTATTAACTACTAAGTATTTAGTGTCATTATTGATCCTCTTACAAGGCATGTTAGAACATTTTTACTGCATAAAAGGACGTAATGACGCCATCATCATTTTGTTAAATACGAATCACCAAATTTCCTTGCACGTGTTTACCCGGTAAAAGAAAGGTTTAATATCTTTCGATATGTTCTAATGTTTATATAATTACTACATTAGCCGGAACCATACAAACGATTACTTCATGGAACATTGACAACAAAATTATTCGTTTTTCTTGCTATAATTCCTACATTCATTCGATTGTCTTCGATTTTGTTCATCGGAAACATTATTACTGGTTTAGCGTGAAATTACAACTTTTCTAACCCTATTAAAACACCTGTTGTTTGTTTAAAGCTCTTTGTTGTTTCTTCGCTTGAAAGTTCACCGGAGAAAACCCGACACCACCAACTTTATCGCAATTTCGTCATTAAAATTTTACCAATGAATGTAGTATCTTGTGTCTACTCACGCGTTCGATTAATCTTTAAAAAGTTATTGTACAGAAAAACTTCTTGTAGAACAATAAAAATATGGTTATATTGATTACCTACCAATTAAAATGTTTGTAAACATTTCTGAAATATTTTATCAATAAACAGATGAAAAAACGAATCGCTTTTAAAACATGTTCTCCACCGAGCCACCGCTGCCTGCTCCATAATTAACACGTCTACCTCCATCCACTGTCATATTTTTAAAATATTACGATCACGCCCTTCATAAATGTACTGGAAAAAGCCCTATCACAACGGTCCGTGAAATAATAATTACCGTCAGAGCAACAATGATGGCTCGTTTCCCTGACATGAACAGAATGTAAATGCGCGTCAAAAAAACAATGTCAAAAAGCCACAACAAAAATTCAGACTTCCTGACAAGACTTAGATGCCGGTTTTGTATTCTTTATGCCTCGACGCTCGACGAAAACAATTTCGCATCTAACACGGAATAATGGGTGGATCGTTACAAATTCTCGCAGGGTTTTAACCTGAAAATACATCTGATTATGTGGCAAGCCCGAAAACGGTTTCATTTAAGCCCTGCGTCGAAAGATTTAATAATGCCTGCATGATTTAGGGTTTTTGATCTTGTTAGTCAAAACATCAGAGTTTGATCTTCAATTAAGCTTTTCACCAACAGAGAAACGTTAATTAATCTATTGACGATTTTATAATAGCATTAATAAGCGCCATCGGTGTTTCGGATGTTCTCCGGATCGCTATTTCCGAGAATAGAAAACCCATTTCCTTCTATAAAAAGGTTTTTTTCTCACCTTATTCACAAGATTATACTACTAATGGATTCTTCGTTACGAAAAATGAGGTGCTGTACTTTGAGCACTTTTTGCACAAAAAATAGTGGTTCATAATTGGAGTATTAATTTGTTTCAGTGAAAATTTCCGGATACATTTTTTTTCGATTTTTCTATCTACTGGACGTGCTTTGACTGTCTATTTGAATTTTTCCATTTCCAATATTATTCTTTAAACATGACAGTGTTTTCTTAAGATAGATATATTTAGAAATATTGAAATTCTGTAAGCGCTATTGGTTTTAGCTTAACGCTAAAGTAAGCTTCGTTCTTGCAAATATGACATATAAATATAAATAGCGCTAGGCTTCATATAGGTCGTTTTTAAAATAGAAATAGTGTAGAGTAAAATTTATGTGATTGTTTAAATCCATTCTCGCACGGATTATTTTATCACTATACGTTGCGTATTTTAAAATGTGTATGCATCAGTTTTGTTTTGATAAAAAGCCGGCAACACAAAAACATATTTCAAAATGAGGTAAATTAAAAAGCAATATGGTTTTAGAGTTGGCAGCGAATTATACGGCTGACAAAATTTGAATTCCATGTTGCAGTCGCGAACGTAACCGCTGGCTGTCTAAAAATGGAACTGTACTGGGCCTTTGAGAAAGATTTTAATTTTCATACACATATGCACGTAATACAAACAATAACATGACGTTTCTTTGTTCTATAGATTTCAGTGAAATTAAATGGGTTGTTGTTGAAAGAATAAAAAAATTGAGAAGTTGGAAAACGAATTCATGTGTTTCAATTTACGAATTACCAGTACTATCTATAGTGTTGATATTGTAGTATTTACAGAGAAATTCTGCTCGTTTTTATTAAATTTTCATCAGTGAGTTCCCAATATAAAAGTGTTCTAATTTTTTTTTTTAACTTCTATTTAAAATTCTTAACCTACTGAGCATCTACATAACGGCGAATAACATTGCGACTTATGGAAGAACATAAGAAAGATAAACCACGACTCCTACACAGTTTCTATAAATGATTATAGGGTCGAAATAGATTATGGAAACGTGCCGCCTCTCATTTTTGAACTTTACTAAATGCCCAAAGATCATGATATACCACACGTATCTGTATAACTGTTTTATTAACAACAATTTTTAAAATGCCAGAATTTTCGGAAAAACAATTGTGTTGTTTTTAGCACCTAGGGTCAATTTTCCAGAAAGTAATAATAATACTGTGAAAATATATTTAATCTCAATGCACGATAAATTAATAACCAGTATCTGTACTTGTTTTATGTTGTTCTTTTCCAAGATTCGCTGGACAAAAGTCAACTTTTCGAGATTAATTGAACAAAAATGTTAAAAGTTATTTATAGCACTTCAAAAAAGATTAATGGAATCGTTACATTTCAAACATAACAGTTACAGCTGATTTATAATTAGGGTCTGAACTGGCAGTGAACACCATCCTTCGCAACGCCAATTTATGCCCTAACACGCCGCTATATATTGAAGCATATTGTGCAATTAATCATGTTAAATAACAAAATTGTTCACCCAAAAACCCACGTGTAACTTTTTCTTGAGTAATTGCCCTGGCATGAGAGTTAAATATAGACCATTCGTCGTCGATTAGAATCTTTTCTGTTGGCTGCACTTTGTTATTTCGTGAATTCCCCACATACCAAAATAAAGCAAAAGGATGTTTTCGGTGTACTTGTTGACAGATCTCTTCGAACATATTTGGATTTTGGGGTCAAAAGACTGAAAAAATAGCGTATCCAAGACAGGACCAAAGTGTCTTTTAAGACCTCGTGTGATTAATATTTAAACTTTCGTTATCTCCTTTTCTCAATGTCAGTAAGTGTTCCAGTTTTAGGATTAAGTGTTTATCAACCAGTGTAAAATTAAACAAATTTTAAGTTATTGGTGAATTGGATTCTAGAAATATTTATACAAACACCAACTCGGCGGAAGTTAATTTCCAAAAATGTAATCAATCAATTTTATAGACGTATTATTATATCTTCCCCAAGATAAACTTAATGTATAAAGAAAATCAGAATAAAAATCGAGTTCAAGAAGGAAGTTCGAGACTCGAGGCCCTTAGTTTCCAACATAATCGGTTTAAAAATGTATAGAGATGAAAGCTAAGAGAACGTAAATTGCAATTTTAACCAATATTTAAATGTAACGTACTTATTAGCAATCAATTAACTCGTAATAGATCACAGCACGCATTACAGTTGCAGAATTTTATCACACATGTATCTGACTAATGAGTTTGGTAACCCTGAGATTGACAGCTTAAGGTTCTAAAAAATGGCAAGTCGTCCTCCACATAAATTTATTTTTATCGCTCTCATTAACGAATTTGACGTTTTTAGTTACATTACCCAGTTACAGGTCCTCAGACAATCGGGATATTTACGGTCCCAGGGTAATGACCCGCAAACCACGAACGTCCTCATATTTTGAAATAACAGACGCAACAATAAAAACATTTTTCTTAAACGCTTAGGTATTTAGTTTTTATGAGAATGAGCTTTTCATAGATGACAGAAAATTATATGCAGCGTCTGCGTATAAAATGTAGTGGATAATGTTTTGACTTTATGTCAATAATTTGGAAGTTTAGTCCCTCATGTTTATAAGAACATTGAAAAAAATAGAAACAACGGTCCATACTTGGGCTATTTTTTTATTATTATCTTCATTATTGCCGGAATTGTTTTAAAAAAATTCAGAGCTTAAATTTAAACACTTTGACAATTTCGTCGTGCTCAGATAACATCTCGGGGAAAGTTCCTGGCTGAAATCCCATTCGCTCGTCGAGTCTATCCAGACTTTCAGAGAAAGTATCAACACCGTATTATTCACGGATCAAATGACCTTTTTACTATAATTTTATTATACTTAGAGTTGCTAATAAGACGTTATTATAGCGATGATAATTTTATCTTCAACGATAATCGCACGCTTTATTATATCGTTAATTTATTACTCATAATAGGTACTTACAGGCATGATGTCATATAACGCAAGGATAGTTCAAGAACATTAAGTTGCTAAACTTTGTAATGCACTTTCTATAGCACTCCACGATTATCTCCCGCATGTTTCCTACATTGTAGCCTCGTTATCACGAACTGCAAGCAGTGCAAGCCATCAGCTTGCCTGAACTGAAAGCTCCTGATATTTATTTCTCTGCGTTCGGCTCCGATCCAAACTTTTTAAAATAACAAGGTCAAAAGTCCTGATTTTCTGTGCCATGTTCATGTCTCTCACCTCGCGAAATAGTCGCAGATGTTCCCGGAACTAAACCAAAAAAATTCGTGGAATCCTGATGAGCTGTTGACACGGAAAATTTAGTTGTTTTATTTTTAAACTTGTGTACAAAAGTATTTGAAACGGGCACTTGAATCGAGGAAAAACACACCACTGTGCAAGACGGTTTTACGAGATGATCCGCTGCACCATTACATGTTAGTGTTATTGCGCGAACTCTTCGTGATAAAGCTGTTTAATGCCGGATTTAACACGATTTCCATAAGCATGAAAATTAAAAATTTTCGTAAGATTAAAATGATCGCTGCTGCGATGATGAAGTTAGAAGGGAGGGTTATTTTCTCCTTGTTTTTCCGAGTGGAAACGCCGAATTATTCTGATGCGTTGTCTCCAACTTAAACGAAAAATTGCTGAAGCATGTGAACACGAAAGTCTAAAGATGCTTTGATTTAGAGTTTTAAACTAGTTTTCTTGAATAGTTTCGTTTTCTGAAGTTTGTTTTACTGTCACGATCAGCATGTAAGTGTGTATCTTTGATTTTGATTGATTCTGTTGAAATTTATTCTCTCTATTTCGCAGGACTTATTTAGATATCCGTTTTTGCAAAATACGTGTAGCAAATTCGCGTCAGGTACAAAATTTTATAAACAGGCTTGGATGCGTTAATTAAAATTTTCACACGATCGATATCACTCTAGAGAGATTGTCAGTATTTTTTAATTAAAACGTTTTCTTAAAAGGAAATTAATTGCGAATATGTGACGTTTTTTAAAATATTCACAAAAATTAATAAAGTCACAACGGAGTCGAAAAAATAGCTCAACTGGAAATATAACAAATATTCATCGAATCTGGTTTAATTTTTAATGAAACATTTTGATTTTTACTTCTCCAGCATAAGCTACGGAAAATTTTGCATGTACTTTATGAATATCATATAGATGGCATACCGCTAATCAACATTTAGTTAAATTATACCCACCAACAATTGAATATCAAGATTTTGCATAGTAAATGTAATACACTTATATGCTTATAGTTTATGAATCCACCTTTATTTTTTACCTTTGACATATAGATTTTTTTTAATTTCATATTGGCAATGTGGACACGTAGAATATGAAGAAATAGGTCTCCCGTTTCCGTATGTATGTCTGTCTGTCTGGATTTCTATTAAACAGATAGTCTCCGAAACTACTCGACCGATTGTTGTAAAATTTTGTATATAATACATAGATTAGGAATATCATGTAGAACCTTGAAACCTTGAAACTGCAAAATCAAAGCTCTAGATTTTGCAAACGTTTTATGATTATCGTAATGATGGTAAATCGTTAATCAAAATTTATTCGTTTATGTCCTCCAAAAAAATTGATGACGTGATCAAAAAATTTTACCGAATAAATCCTATCGAAAATGTGCAAAATATGATAAGTCTATACTTGTGATTTATCGTTCCATTCAATTTTTTTTAGAATTGCTTATACAGGATGACTCAAAAGAATTAGTCAGTGCGTCAATTTATGTTATTTATTAAATCAGGAATTGCAAAACCGAATGCTTTGAGATTTTGTAGACGTTTTAAAGTTATCGTAAGCCTGGTAAATTTGTAGTCACAATGTATCTGTTTGTCCCCTCTCCAAAAAATTGATGACGTCAAATCAAAATTTTGACGAATAATTACTATCGAAAATGTGGCAAAATATGATGTGATTTTTCACTGAATTTATATTTTGTAGAATTACTTATCCCGAGTAAAAAAAATCAATGAGTAAGTTTATTTTATTGAATAAACTAGGAACGAGGCACTCCAGTTTTCCGAAAATTTGGCAATACGATACTGTTATTATTAGCACTGCACCTACACAAAATGATATCTATGTCCCTGCAAAAATGTTGATGACGTCATCACAAAAGGTTTAAACTCAATTGGAATACACCCAAAGCATGCTTCTGTATATTTACTTTAATATTACTCTTATAGGTATCTTTATTTTAACTTCTAGGGGTTCTCGTAATAAACATAAATTCGAAAAATGATGGCTGTTACATCGACCATACCAAAATTTTGATTTAAGTTTCCGCCAAAAATTAATGACTAATTACAAAATTTGATTTTCTGAAATTTTATTTATTTAATGAAAACCCCTAAGCTAAAATAATACACCAACCGACAGACAGATGACAGACAAACGGAAACGGGATTAGATTCCAGATATTTTTTCTAAATGTTCGATATAAAATTGATTTATGGTGACATAATATTTATTTCTTTTTTTATAGAATAGATTTAACTCAGTAAAAAAATATTCATTATTGAATACATGGAATGTAAAAAACTGGTTTAAATTATTTGAAAGAATCAGACCTCGTGACAAAACTTTTATAGATTCTATAGAAATCACTGCAAAAAATAATAATATTATTAATAATAATAATAATAATAATAGTTTATTGATCCCAACAGGTCACCCCAATTACAGGAACCAAACGACTAAATAAAAATAAATTCATTGTTAACAAAAATCATAACTTAATTATATATAAAAAAACTATTAAGACAAATCCCTAATACAACAGCATATGTAACTAGAAGAATCAAAGTGAATGTCACATTTATCAGCTATCTTATTGTACAAAGAACACATTAATGAAATTGGTGATCTAAATAAAATATTTGTGCGCGAATAAGTTTTATAAAATAACAGGTGTTTACGAATACTAGGACGCGGTACCAGAAAATTTATCTTATTTAACAGTGCAGCACAATCATCCTTATTGTTAAGAAGATTATACAGAAAACGTATGATTAGAATGTTGCGACGCACACTAAGAGCTGTAAAGTTAAATCTTCCTAGTAGAGTGTCGTGATTAAATCCACGAGAAGGATATGCACCATCTTCCATAAAGGCTAAAAATTTGAAAAATTTTCTCTGAACAGCCTCCAGATTGACTCGGTGAACTTCGTAAATTGGCGACCAAATAATAACACCATATTCCAGTCGAGATCTGATTAAGGAATAGAATAAAATTTTTAGAGTGTTCTGATTGGAGAACTCACGACCATTTCGAAAAATAAATCCATACATTTTGAAAGCTTTTGCTATTATGTCGGTAATATGTTGCACAAATGTAAATTTAGAGTCGAAAATTATTCCCAAATCTTTGAAGCTTTCTAACCTTTCAATGACGACACCGTCAATGTTGTAATCGTATTGAATAATCAATTGCTTTCTAGAATATGACACAATTTTACATTTTGAAATATTCAGCATGAGTCGGTTTTGTTTACACCAAGTATACAAAAGATGTAAGCAAAATTGCAAGAAGGCACAGTCCTCTATCGATTCTATTTCAGTATATAATTTGAAATCATCTGCAAACATAAGCTTTTTACATCCTACTATATCCGCTAGATCATTGATGAATAGGAGAAAAAGTAGAAGGCCTAAATTAGAACCCTGAGGTACACCTGAAGATGGAAAAAACGATTTGGAAATAAAATTTCTATATTTAACTACGTGTTCTCTTTCGTGTAAATATGACTGAAACAGTTTGATTAAGGAATTAGAGAAACCCAAACGATTTAATTTTTCAACTAGTATAAGATGATCAATTTGGTCAAATGCCTTAGTGAAGTCGGTGTATATTACATCCCACTGTCCTCTGTTATCAAGGATTTCACATACATATTGTGAGAACGAAGTCAGATTCGTAATGGTGGACTTTTTTTGTTGAAAACCGTGTTGATAAGGAGATATCATATGCTTGGTTGAGTTGTAAATGTCACAGTACAGAATCATTTCCAGAACTTTTGAAAAATTGCACAACAGGGAGATACCTCTATAATTGGTGACATCATTCTGTCTTCCTTTTTTCAAAATGGGACAAACGTACGCTCGTTTCCATAAAGATGGAAATACCGAATTTTTTAATATTAAATTGAACAATATACAAAGTGGTTGTGCAAACGCATGTGCACAATCTTTAATTAGGAAAGAAGGAACACCATCGATGCCCATAGTGAAGGAATCTTTGCATCGCTTTAAACATTTTAAGACGTCATCCACTGTAATATGCGATGTTTCAATCTTCGTACTGAACATGGGCTTTAGTGATAATTGAGAAAAGTCTGCTGGACTAGGCTGGATAAACACGCTGTTAAAATATTCAGCAAATGCATTTACAATATCCGTTGGGGTTGAAAGTTGTTTGTTATTATACTCCATATGAGCTGGAATCCTCGATGTACCCTTTTTCGCTTGAATGAAACTCCAGAACTTTTTTGGATCACTAGATATTGAAGCCTCGATTGTAGCCAGGTATTTTTTATATGCTTCCTTGATTAGACGTTTACATTGAGAGCGACGATGTTTGAATAAATTATAGTAATAATGAGTTTTGTGTTTTTTATACAACGAATAAAGTGATGCCTTATTATGAATACTTTGAATTATTTCAGTCGTGAACCATGCAGGGTAATACTGACGATGACTAGATGAAGACGAAAATTTTGGTACAGCCAGATCAAATAGTTTATAAAGTTGGGCATAAAATTGCGAACAAGCATCTTCGACGTTGTCGATGTGTTCCAAGAAAGTCCAGTCAGCAGCTAACAGTAGATCATATAACATAGGATAGTTGGCTTTTTTGGAATTGTAACTTTCATTTAAGTTGTTAATTTGAAAAGCATACGACGAAGTGAAAGACAAATTGAAATTAATAGTGATGGCAGGATG